CACAGGCCCAAGCGCGCGCCCCGCTTGCTCCGACACGCGCGCGCACTCCTCATACACACGCGAGTCAGAGGGTCGCGTGCGCGCGCGTGACGCAATATCGGCAGAGCTGCACGTGTACAGCGCGGAGGTGGACGGGAGCACGTGCGTGAAGGCGACATCGCCCTCTTCGCCGCGCGCGGTCGTGCTGTTGTGGCGGGCAAAGACGTCCCCGCTGGCGTGCGTTTCGCTGCGGTTTCGGCGCCGCCGCTCCTGCTGTCGCGCATGCACGGGCGTTGACGTGGCAGACAGGGCCTTCCCGCCACCACTGCCACCGCCCCCAACTGTGTCTGGCGCAAACATGACCCTCCTTTCAGCACGCGCATGTGCGTGGTGGTTGTGACCGCGGCCACCATCACCATGGCCGCCATCACCACCATCACCATCATCTCGACCAGACGTGCTGCCAGTTCGGCTCTGGTCCTCCTCAACACTTCGGCCCCGCTGCAGTTGTGACCGGCGTGCACGGGTTGCTGACGCCGACGATGACGACGATGACGATGACGGTGGAGGTTTCGAGGCAGATGCACTGGCCCGTGCTGACGTGTTTGGTTGCGTGCTTCGTGCGCCTATGTCAGCGGTTGCCCCCGCGCTTGTGTCGTCCTCTGGCGTCTCTTCGTTGTCTTCCATGATGGAAAACAGGCTCAACACGCTTGCGGGCTGCTTCTCCTTGTGTCGGCGTTGGGGCGGAAGGCTCTGCGTCACCGCCGCTTGCCGCAACGCACGCGCGCGGCTGTCCTTCATTGCCGAGGCCCCAGTCGCTGCGGCACCATTGCCCTGACCATCTCCACTGCCACCGCTGCTGGTGGTGGTCGTCGTCGTTGCTGCTGCCGGCACTTGCTGCTGCTGCTTCTGCTGCTGACTGCTGCTCGCTGGCTTGCCGCTGCCCAAGAGTTGGACGGAACTCCGACTGCCGAGGGCAACGCGGCGCCCGCAGCGTCCAGCGACGTCAGGCATCGACGACGTGGCGTGCAGCCAATCGCCGACGCCATCGCCATAATCACCACCGCCACCCGCGCTTGCTCCTTGTGCGGCCAACGGCTGTGCACGCGCGAGCAAGCTGCCAATGTCCACCACGCGTCGCGAGTGTTTGCGCATCAGCACGGCGTCCTGCCACGATATCGGTTTTGAGAACGCGTAGGAGAGCCGCCATGCGTGCGGGTCCTCATCGGTCCGTCGACACACGCGCGCTGCTGCCGACGTTCCTGCAGATGTGCGCAGGTTGCGATCGCTGCGCAGACGAAACGACGACGAGCGGTGCGCCAGCCGCGGGCGCCACATCATCGCCGCAGCAGACGGGCCAGTGGCGATGGCGCTGCTGGTGTTGGTGGTGGTGGCAACGGTGTTGTTGGTGGTGCCGAGGACGCCGCTGCCTGCTGCTGCGGTCAGCGGGTGTGGGAGAGCAACACCCGGTGGCGGCATTGGCATGCGCGGAATGGTGTCTGTGACCTCCAGATCGCTGTCGCTGCCGCTAAACTCCATCTCGTCCTCGTCCTCCTCGTCCTCCTCGTCCCTGCTGACCACGGGCACGGCCTGCGCCGCCACCCGCTTCTCGCCTGGCCGCAGCGCCAGCGATGTGTACTCCGGCTGTGCGCTGTGGAACGGCCCCATCGTGCGTGTGCCGTCCGCGTCCACCAGCGCGGTTGTCGTCATCAGCCGCATGTACTCGTGGTCGAAGCTCGTCAGCTCTGTCGGCGAGTACATTGTCTCAAACAGGCCCAGGTCTGTGCGCACGGGCTTGCGTGGAAGCGTGAGCCGCGGCACGCCCAGCGCGCCCTGGTACGCAAAGTGGCGAGCGGCGACGTAGTAGGCGGCAACAACATAGTCCTCGCCATCTGGGGTGGTGCGGTGCCAGGCGAGCAGCTGCTGGCGAACCTCCTCGTCAAAGCGCTCGAGACCCGTGATGGCGGGCGCCTCGCCGATGGAGCGGCGGTCAGCAAACGAGGTGTCGCCTTTCTCGCCTGATGATTGCAACCAGGAGGATGAAATAAGGGTTGTGATTGGTGGTTGTGATTGGTGGTTGTGATTGGTGGTTGTGATTGGTGGTTGTGATTGGTGGTTGTGATTGGTGGTTGTGATTGGTGGTTGCTCAACGGCAGACAGCGAAGAACCCATCAACACGTGCACGCGTATGCATCACATCGACTCACACACGTGCGCACATAAAACACTCATACATGCCGGGAAGCACGCGCGCGCACACTTGTCAATACACTGGCGTCCTTTCTGCGCGCATATGCGTGCACTTACGGCTGAGCTGGACGGTTTGTCTGCGGACTTCGAGGTAGACGGCGCGCAGGGTCTTGATGGAGCGGCGTGATGGCGTCCTCACGAGTGCCGTCTTCACCGTCGTCGTCGCTGGCGCCGCCCCACTGCTGCGCCGGCGCCCACCCTGCCGCAGGACCAGCGTACCCGGCTCCGAGACGACACCTGATGCTCCGATCTCCACATGCTGTTGTTGCTGCTGCTGCTGCTGCTGGTCACTGCGTTCGGGTGGGGGCGACGATGGGGGCGTGGCGAAGATGTCATCGTCAACAGAACTGCCGAGGCCAAGATGACCCGGCATGACCACCTGCCCGTTGACCGGCGCCAGTGGATGCTGCTGATCTGCAAACGCACCACCACCCGCAGTGGTGGCGGACAATGAAGGAAGAGACGCGCACACGTCAACATGCGCTGCACGCGGCAGTGGCCCATCACCGCGAACATCATCATTGTCGGCGTCATCGTTGTCGTCGTCAACACGGTCATTGTCGTCCTTGTCGTTGGCGCGTTGGGAGAGGAGGTGGCCTTGTCCGCTGTTCGCTTCACTGTCCAGCTGTTGACACTTTGATTGACGAAAGCGCTCAATGGTTGGCACTGATGCGACAATCAGAGCGGTAAATGCAAAGGACGGGAGGTGGGTGGAAGTGAGCGACACCGTCAATTGCTTGCTGATGTGCGCGAGAGTGCCAGCAAAACATGGCGCCGAAACTTATTCGTACCTTGAGGCACACATGCACGCACGCACGCACACACACACGTGCGCACACATACAACACAACACAACACAATACAACATAACACAACAACACATGCGTGCGCACCTGTGACGCGCATGTGCCACTTGTCATATGGCGGGCGCGAGGGCGGCGTTGGGCTGAGGACGTCGTGGCGGTGCAGCAGCTTGTCGTTGTCGAGCAGCCACAGCGGAGTGGTGCTCGCGGTTGGCCGGTACTTGCCCAGAAACAGGTTGATGGCCATCTGCACAGCAACGACAAGGGAGGGTGGTGGTGGTGGTGGTGGTGGTGGTGGTGGTGGTGGTGGTGGTGGTGGTGGTGGTGGTGGTGTGGTGGTGGTGGTGGTGGTGGTGGTGGTGGTGGTGGTGGTGGTGGAAGAGTGATGGGCGACATGAGGATGAACAAATGAGTGATGTGGGGATGAACAGACAGACAGACACACACACACACACACACACACACACACACACACACACACACACACACACACACACACACCCCCCGGTGCAGGCGGTCGCTACAATCATACGCTGCGACATGCTCACACAGACACGTGCGAGTCCAAACACGAACGTGCTTTCTTCACCTGCTTGTCAGTGTCTGTGAAAGAGTTACTGTAGTAGCGGGCAACAGTGTTGAGGATGTCCTTGGAATGCGTTGTCCACTGGCGCTTGCGGTAAGATTGAATGCGGTTGACAAGACTTGACCCGCCGTACTGCAGAGCAATGGTGTCGCCGTGGTCCTCATACAACTGGCAATCGCGACACCGTGTGTGTGTGTGCGTGTGTGTGTGTGTGTGTGTGTGTGTGTGTGTGTGTGTGTGTGTGTGTGTGTGTGTGTGTGTGTGTGTGTGTGTGTGTGTGTGTGTGTGTGTGTGTGTGTGTGTGTGTGTGTGTGTTGTGTGTTGTGTGTGTGTTGACGACAAGGATGAGCGAGGTGCGGAACTCAGACAACATGATGAGTGCAATCAACGCACGGAACGCAGGAGGCAGATGGAACGAAATGCATGGGTGTGGCGGCCGTTTCAGCGGATGGATCAGGCCTCACCTCACACAGGAGACGCCATGCAAGGCAGTCAAAGGGGATGGAGGCCGAGTTGACCTCCGGGATCACACCAAGCACGTACAGCTGGTGCGGCAGAGCAAGCCGGACGAGGTTGATGATGGGTGAGGGATTAGTGAGGGATTGGTGAGATCACACAAGTGAGATGAGCATGATTGCAATAAGTAATTGCACTCACACGCGGAAAGATAAACGAGGTGCACACAGACAACCACAAGCACACGAGCGTGCACACTCACACACTCACAAGAATACATTCACCCAAACACAAACACATCACCCACTCGCCCAAATACACACACACACACACAAATGCACACACACACAAACACAAATGCACACACACACACACAAACACAAATGCACACAAACTGACCTGGTGTCTGAGCGCACAGAGGCCAATCATGAACTGGGCTGTGTTGGTTCGATCAAGACAATCGACGCAGTTCACGCGCACAACACCGCACTGGTGGCGAGGAAAATGCACAGCATAGGTGGCAGGAACGCAGGAATAAGAGAGGGGCCAGTGTGCACAGCACAAGAGAAGTGACACAAACACCCATGGAACCATGAAACATCAGCGTAAGAGAACAGGTAGTGGCTGGTGGTGGTGGTGTTCACAAGACCATTCCCATGCACACGTTTATTTGCTCGTTTGCTCGTCCTTCCATTCACATCCACAACTTTGCGGCCATGGCAACATTGAAGCAACCGAAGAGCGGGAAGAGTGCTCACCTGATTGCGACCCCTGACGCGGCGGTATGGGTTGTCATATGCCAGGGTGCCGCCAGTGCTCGTGTTGTGCGGGTCGCCGCGTGTGCACCACAGCTGCGGGCCCGCATGGAAGATGCCAATCTCCTGGTGGTTGGTGGTGACGGTGACGGCGGCGGTCAAGGAAGACAGACGACAGTGACTGCGCACGCACACACGCACACCAACGCACACACACACACACACACACACACACACACACACACACACACACACACACACACACACACACACACACACACACACACACACCTCGAGGAATGCTGTTCCAAACTTGTCGAGGTGTTGGAGAACTGTGCCGTTTCGCTTATTGCATCGCGCCATGTCCCACGCAAAGTGGCGCACAGCCTCATCCTCGCCAAGAAACTGCAACAACACAGCACACACGCGCGCGCATAAGGTGGGTTGCCAACGCGAGGGATTGGTGAGGGACAAACATAAGCTGCACTGTCAGCTGTGTTGGAGGCAAAATGCACATGCACAACGATGCGGACAAGTTTCGTCTGTCTGTGGGAGGCCTGTTCTGCGTCTGCGTCTGTGCGTCTGTGTGTCTGTGTGTGTGTGTGTCTGTGTGTGCGCGTGTGTGTGTCTGTGTGTCTGTGTGTCTGTGTGTGTCTGTGTGTGTCTGTGTGCGTGTGTGTGTGTGTGTGTGTGTGTGCGTGTGTGTGTGTGTCTGTGTCTGTGTCTGTCTGTCTGTCTGTCTGTCTGTGGAGGCCTGTGTCTGTGTCTCTGTGTGTCTCTCTCCCTCTCTTGATATCTGTGTGTGCGTCTGCCTGCCTGTGTTCAGACCTGGTTGATGTATGCGAGGGCGTCCTTCATGCCTTCGTACAGCAGCGCTTCGCGGGGTTTCCGCTCCAGCCGTTTGACGAGATTGAAGGCAATGACGGGCGACCCGTACCGGTGCAGCAGCTGCAGCACAACCAATCACAAATAACAAATAACAAGCCAGGAGGCGCGAACATGGCGTGTCGTTCACAGTCATGAGATCAACAGAGAGAGAGAGAGCGAGAGAGAGAGAGAGTGTGTGTGTGTGTGTGCAGGTGTGTGTGTGTGTGTGTGCAGGTGTGTGTGTGTGTGTGCAGGTGTGTGCAAATGCAACGGATAACATCAGTGCGTCTCGCATAAGTGCTGTTGCGTAGGCTCGCCACGTACCATGCACATGCGCATGCGCATGCCCCCTTTACACAACAAGATGCACACCCCTCCCACGAAGCATCTCAAAGCAAGCAAGGCTTTACTGACGCGTTCAAAGTGCATGGATGCGAGGGAGGCGAAAGGGTCACTGCGGGCGATGGAAATGGCTCTCTTGGCCTTCATGCTGTTCTGTTCCTGCTGCCAATAGAGCGGCACCGATCCGCGAACCTGCAGGAAACTTGTGAACCTTCCGGACCGATGACACAGCGTCGACGCATCGTGCACAATCTGCTCCGTCTCCACGTCGTTGGCCGGGTTGCCCTTCTCGTCCGTGCCTGCACAGTGTGTTCGGGAAAAGGCGGTGAGAGGGAGTGAATGTACGTTTGTATGTGTGTGTGTGTGTGCGTGCATTTGTGTGTGTGTGTGTGCGTGTATTTGTGTGTGTGTGTGTGTGCGTGCATTTGTGTGTGTGTGTGTGTGTGCGTGCATTTGTGTGTGTGTGTGTGTGTGTGTGATGAGCAGCTGAGGTAGCGTGAAGGAGAATTACCATAGCTAATAACTCGCACAGCAACCTCATTGGTGGGTTTAAACCATAGGCACACACACAAACAGACGCACGCACACACGCACGCACGCAGACGGACAGGCCCACGCACCGCGTTTCAAGTAGCGTGTGCCAGCGTAGAAGCGCGAGCGGCGGGCGATGAGGGTGACAAAGATGGGGCGACCAAAGACATTGAGGTTGCTCTGAGCAATGAAGCCGTGCATGGCGTGAATCACCCATCGGCGATCAACCTGCAGGGAAGAAAGCGCGCAATGAGAATCGAGGCACACGGGCAAGCACGTGCAGTGATCACGTGCAAACAGCATGCTTGTCAATGAATGAAGCGATGCATCTGCGGAAGCGACAGCGGTGCTGTCTACCACGCCACCCACCTTGTTGGCATACGGGGTGGTGAGGAAATGATTCCAGACAAACTTGGTGTTTGGGCGAATGGGACGAGGGCGTGCTGCCACGCGGCCGGCAGCTGACAGGAAACAAACCCCGGCAGTAGCCGTCGAAGTGAGATAAGGAAACCCAGATGGGGCGGGGGGGGGTTGTTGGCGGACAGAGTGTGTGTGTCTGTGTGTCTGTCTGTCTGTGTGTGTGTGTGTGTGTGTGTGTGTGTGTGTGTGTGTATGTGTGTATGTGCACAGACTCCGAGAACTAACAGAACATAAGCCTGCTTCGCTTGGCTGGGATTGCTGCCCACCTTCGTCTTCGCTTGGGATGTACATGTTGGATTGGAGGGGGCGTGTGAGGTCGTACGTGTACGAAAAATAAAAGTTGCTCGTCGTGTCAACGTTCTGGGTTCACCACAGGTAGTGTGTGTGTGTGTGTGTGTGTGTGTGTGTGTGTGTGTGTGTGTGTGTGTGTGTGTGTGTGTGTGTGTGTGTGTGTGTGTGTGTGTGTGTGTGTGTGTGTGTGTGTGTGGTGGGGGGGGGGGGTGAGCGTAAACAGACTTAGGATAGCGACTGAAGCAGAAATAAAACGCGTGAAAAGACAGGATCGGGTGTGGCAAGCAGCGCAAGCAGAGCCACACGCGGGCACTGTCGTGAATCTACAACAAACTAGTACTAGCACTGTAGACCACCCACCTGGAACATCTTCGTGTAGCGCTTTTCATCTGGTGGAATGGTGGCGTTGCTCAAGCTGGTGTTGTACACGGCGGCCATGAACATGTCCTCGATGCGATACACGATGTGCCCGCCGATCATGGCCACCTTTCGCCGCTTGGTGATGACGAGGATGTAATACCCGCTCAAGAAGCGGACAACGCCAAATATACCAAACCCAGACACCTTTCGTTCCAGGAGGCCTGGATGATGGAAGTTTAACTCGCGCAGCTTCGCCTTGAATGTCGGTCATAAGAACGTGCACGGCACAGTTCGTGAGGCAGGCAGACAGGCGGGCTGACGGGCTGACGGGCTGACGGGTGCACACACAAACAAGAACGCATGCACACACAAGAATGCATACAGACACACACACACACACACACACACACACACACACACACACACACACACACACACACACACACAAGAAGGTATTCCGGTTTTCAATCTGACCTGTATCTCGGTTTCATTGTACACCTTGCCATCATCGACAATCGCAAGGTCCTTCGTGCTGCGATCCAACGCCAACACGCGGAACTCCTTGCGCACCTGACCCAGAGTATCAGCACGGTAACCGACCAACACAAGCGACAACAACAACGCCAAACGTCAAAGAGGTCGAGAGAGCACCCAGCGTGTGGAGCAAGCGCAGGAAAGCAAGGATGGCCAACCATACGTCCATGCATCCATGAATGGGCGAGAAGCGCACCTGGTCACAACCAATGATGTACAGCATTGTGCGTGTGGGGTACATGTTGGTCCTCGTGATGCTGTGGAACGTGGGATTCAGGTACAGTTGTGCCTTGCCATCGCCACAGCCACCTGCCGAGGCGCTGTCTTTCTCTGCTTCTTCCGCCATCTCCGCTGCTGAGGTGTGGCCAGAAAATAGGTTACGGTCCTATTATTAGTATGTGTGTCTGTGTGTGTGTGTCTGTGTGTGCGTGTGTGTGTCTGTGTGTGTGTGTCTGTGTCTGTGTCTCTGTGTGTCTGTGTATCTGTGTGTCTGTGTGCGCGTACATTTGGATACGTGGCTTGAAAATTCCAGCTTGTGTACGTCAAAGAAGCGCTCAGCTGTATGGACCACGGCGCGTAATTCATGTTAAAGAGCATCAACGGCTGATCTTTCCTCTGTGCTTCTTTCTGTTGGAGTGTTCATTTCATCGTACATACATCCTTGTTTGCTTCACGACTCGAGTAAACCACAATTTCCTCTTGCCAAGACACTCTCTGCACAACACACAGCACACGCAGCACGCACACAATACACAGCACGCACAGCACACACACAGCACACACGAGTCTTCAACAACAGCAACACCACCATGAACTTACAACACTCATACACACTCTCCCTCATACACACACGCTCACACACTTTCACTCTCTCTCCCCCGCACAGGCACTAGGCACGTGGATAGCTTGGTCGCCATCGCGGTATCACTCGGCGCATTTACAGCAGCCGGTGAGCCAATACGCACACACACACAGACACACGCACACACACTCATATGCTCACGCGCTCGCACACACACACGCACGCATACACACAAATGCTCACGCTCTCGCACAAACACACGCGCCATACACACACGCAGACAAACACACACAGACACGCACGCAGACAAACACACGCGCGCACACACACGCACGAATACACAAACACGCACGCACACGCACACGCTCACGCTCGCATACATACACGCATACACACGCACGCAGACACACACAGACGCTCACGCACACATACACACACGTACACACACTCACGCTCACACACGCTCACACATTCACGTGCTCACAACACACACTCTCCCTCGTTCTTGCACCAGGCACACGGATAGGTTGGGCGCCATCACGGTGCCCCTCGGTGCATTTACAGCGACTCGTGAGTCAATACACACTCACACACACGCAGATGCACGCACACACACTCACTGTTGACATCACTGTTCCAGTGTCAATGCTTGCTGAGTCAGCAAATTCTGCTGTAAACGTTTCTGTACACGTGCACCCAGAAACAGGCGTTTCTGGTTGTTTTGCCACGTGGCACTTCTCTCTCTCTCTCTCCTCCAGTTTTCTGTCTATGTGTGAGAGTGTCTTCCAGTTCATGTTCATTCATCCTACATCCTTATTTGCTTCACAACTCAAGTAAACACACACAACTCTCTCTTGCCAAGACAATCTCCCACACAACACATAGCACACACAGCACACACAGCACACACAGCACACACACAAGTCTCCAACAACAGCACCACCACCATGAACTTACAACAGTCACCCTGCAGACGCCCTCATCACTGGGGACGGCCATCGCCTTGGCGCGCTGTCGAGTTTCACGCCCAAGAATCCACTGCACGTGCAACAGGTTGGAGGGAAATCACGTGAACATTCCAGAACACAAGAAAGGTGAATGCAAATTTGTCGTGTCGTTAGGAAGGAAGGTCAATGGTGACTCGGCAGACAGGGCTAGCCTGACAACACTTGTCCTAACAGGCAGTTAGAGCTGCCCTGCACACCACGTGCTGGAGGCAGGCCACTACAACTCGTGCCTAAGGCACGAAAGCCCGCCAGATGCGGTGTCGTTCTACCGCACCTATGGGTTTGAAGTGTAACGCTCCCCATCAGGAACATCACCACCATTGGTAAACATTCATGCTGGTGGTTGTTGGCGAGAGACATTGGCGCCCCCTGTTGTTGAACACTCATGGTGGTGGTGGTGTTGGAGATGGGGATGTGTGTGTGTGTGTGTGTGTGCTGTGTGTGTTGTGTGTTGTGTGTGTGTTGTGTGTTGTGTGGGAGTTTGTCTTGGCAAGAGAGAGTTGTGTGTTTTACTTGAGTTGTGAAGCAAACAAGGATGTAGCATGAATGAACATGAACTGACGAGAGACACTTTCATACATAGACAGAAAACTGGAGGAGAGAGAGAAGTGCCACGTGGCAAAACAACCAGAAACGCTCGTTTCTGGGCGCACGTGCACAGAAACGTTTACAGCAGAATTTGCTGACACAGCAAGCATTGACAGTGGAACCGTGATGTCAACATTTGGATATGCCGTTCGATATCTCCATTCTTGTCTGGTCGTACGGGGAAGAATGCTGCATGTCGAGCTTGTGCTTGTGTAGCAACTTCAACTGAGCTGGAGTGGTAAATACAGCCTCGTTGTCCGTCTTGAGGACGTTCACCCTGTCTCCAGTGCCCACTGCCCGGGGCAGTATCATCAGCATGCTGTCCAGGGTGTCAGCAAGGTCCGAGAGTCCGACGCTGCTGCACTGGGTTGCGATGTCAAGGAGCACGACCGCAAATCTGCCGCCGGTAAGCGTCGAAGGATGTGGTTGATGAATACTCATAGTGGTGCTGTTGTTGGAGACTCGTGTGTGTGTGTGTGTGTGCTGTGTGTGCTGTGGGAGATTGGCTTGGGAAGAGGAAGTTGTGTGTGTTTACTTGAGTTGTGAAGCAAACAAGGATGTAGGATGAATGAACACTCCAATAGAAAGAAACAGAGCAGAAGACAAGAATTGTCGACAACGCAAAGTGGTGACGTGGCAGTGTTTGTTGAGAGTTGTGTGGTTATGTGGTGTGTTATGCAAGAGCATGTAACATCGAGCAACCACACAAGCTAAACACTGCACGTGCAACAGGTTGGAGGGAAATCACGTGAACATTCCAGAACACAAGAGAGGTGAATGCAAATTTGTGGTGTCGTGAAGAAGGGAGGTCAATGATGACGCAGCAGATCGCACATTGTGGCTGTGCGTGTGTGTGTGTGTCTGTGATGGTGTGGCTGTGTGCTGTGTAGCTGTTTGCTGTTCTCTCATGTGCGTTGTCGACCATTGTATTGGTGAGTGAACACAAGAGGAAACTTTGTAGAAGAAGTGAACGAAACAATAAAACAAGTCAAACATGAATAAACCACGAAGTGACACAGGGGCGCCAACAATGGGCCCACAATGTCTGCATAGAAAAGCTTGAGCGGCAGTGCAGTGCGTGGCTTAGCTTGTTAAGGTATGCTCGCTCTTGTGCTCGTTGTGATGCCGCATGCATGACACGGTACTTGGTTGCGTGCACGGCTTGCGATGCTGTCAAGCACCGACGGTGCCCCATACGCTCGTGGTGATACCCTGAGTTCGCGGCGTCACTGTCAATTGGCGCCGTAACCGCTGCCAGAGAGACCTCATGCGCACGGGTTGCGTGAATGAGTAAGCGCCCAGTGTTGAGAGTCAGTGCGTTTCTGTTTTGTGTTGAGTCCTTCCTAATTTGCCTTCTCATGTGGTTTTGTCTTGTTTGCCAACAACACCTGCTTTGTGGTTTTTTCCGTTGGCAAACATTCCTTCCTCTCTGCTGGCATGCATGTGTGCCAACTGCCTCTCCTCTCCTCCTTCCCCTACACACGTGAGTTGTGTGCCATGTGTTTGTGTGTATGTGCATGCCCGTCATGTTTGGCAAATGCTATGTGTGCGTGCCATGCAGTGTTGTGAAGTGTTGTCTGTTGTGTATGCTTGCCTGCAAGCATTCATGCCATGCCTAGCATTGCTCTGCGCGCATGTATGCATGTGTTGTGATGCAACTGTACCGCCTGACTACCGTGTGCTTTAAGTGGTCCTTTGTCCTTGTTGTAGGACGATTTTCATCTGCACATGCCATTCCGTTGGGCCTTGTGGTTTTGCCCTTTGCGTTCCTTGTTGTCGATCGCTTCCCCTCTCTGTTGTTGTGCCCTCTTGTGGCCCGGGCTGATGCCCGTGGCTGGTACTAGTAAACATCCTTCTGTTCCCCTTGACCATGCGAAGCCCCTTTGTAACACATGCTGCTCATTGTTTAGATTGTTTGTGTTCGTGCACACTCTGCCCATGTCGCCTTGGCAGCGTCATTGACTGTGTGTGCACTTGTCTAGTGTTTGTTTGAGCGTGCTGCCCGAGTTGATTAGGCAGCAGCTTGTTGTGCTTGTTCATTCTCCTTGTGTTCTTGTTTGTTGCGTTTGCCTACAGTAAACACACACACACACACACCTGTCGTGTTTCTACAGATTATGAGACCCAGCCACTCCTGAGCATCATCACCACTTATCTCACACTCGCTTGTGCTTCTTCTCTCCCTTCTGCTTGTTCCCCTCTCTTGTTTCTCCATCACCCTTCTTGAGCGTGCAGTATGTCTGACCCGTCGGACCACGTCGTTTCCACGCCAGGATTCAAGATGGACCTGCCCAAGTTCTCTGGCTCGCCCGGCACCTTTCATGCGTGGAGCATTCGCATGAAGATGGCGCTCAAGCTGCGCGGCGACGACGTCTGGGCAGCTGTGGAGGCAGGAGCATCGTCATCGGGAGGTCCAAGCTCAGCGACACGCTCAAGTGCAAGGAGACCGACAGCAGGAGATCACGCCAACCTCACCGCTGCAAACCTCATCGCGTCCACGCTCTCAGGCTACCCCCTTCTCCTCTTCACCAACGGAGAAGCAGACGTCAACGCCGGCCAAGGATGGGCCCGGCTCAAGGACCACTACGCTTCGCAGGACCGCCTCCGCATCGCAGAGCTCAAGGAGGCGCAGCTTCACGTCCCCTGCGGCAACCTGGCCCGCTTCTTCGAGCGACACATGGAGCTGCAGCAGCAGTTGCAGGACGCGGGCGTGCGCCAGGACAACGAGGACCTCTTCACCATCGTCTGGAAGCAGCTGCCACGCTGGACAGCCCCCGCTCACGCTTCCCTACTTTGCCAGTGGCCGCTTTCCCTCCCTCCTCGAGCTCAGCATCAGGCTGCAGCAGCTGGAGCAGCAGATGCGTGGTTCACGCACACAGCCGCAGGCAGGCGGCTTCGTGGCAAGAGCACCGCCACGCAGAGGTGGAAGACGCGGCTTCTCCAACAGCAGCAACAACCACGGACGCCAGGGACGCAACAACGGTGGTAACGGCAACAGCAACAGCAAGGGGCGCCGCTTCCGTGGCAACTGTCACTACTGTGGCAAGTATGGACACCGTGCAGCAGAGTGTCGCAAGAAGCAACGCGACAACGGAGCAACAGGCTTCACTGCACAGGCACAGCATCAACATGGTCAAGACGCAGCAACCTTCGTCGCTGCCACAGCTACTACACCCACGCAGCTGCATGACCCACTCACGTGGCTTGTAGACACTGGTGCTTCACACCACCTCACCTTCGTCAAGGACGCCTTCGTGGAGCTGACACCGCACCTGCAACAGCACCATCCACGCCACATCACTGCGTTTGGCGGCACACGTGTGCCCGTGCGCGGTGTTGGCTCTGTGCTGTTGCATGCACGCACGACGAGCGGAGCCACGATGCAGATTGTGCTACAGGAGTGCCTCTACGTGCCCGAGGGCCAGGCCAACCTCATCGCCCTCGGTCGTCTGACCAGGGACAGCAGCGGCAGGCCAACGGGCCACTCGCAGCGTGATGGCGCTGATGGGCACTACGTGCGCTTCAGCCACGGAGCCGAGGTCAAGCTGAAGGAGCGCAACAGCCTCCGGTGCTGGCCCATTGTTGCTGTTGGTCCATCCACGGCACACGGTCTCACCGCCGATGCCTGCAAGCAACCACAGCAACCCGCAGCAGTTCCTGCATCCCAGAGCAAGGCGCACACACCATCGATGCATGAGGTGCTTGGTCACCGCAACGACAACGACGTGCAGCAGTACTGCAAGCTGATGGGCATCGACATCGCAACGCCATCAGCAGCAAGCAGTGTACAACGTGCGCAGTGACCAAGAGCACTCGTCACAGCGTCAGCAAGCACGCGGAGCGCACACAGGTGCCCGGCGAGCGCATCCACGCCGACTCGTCGACTGGACGCGGACTCACCCACGGGCAAGCGCTACAGCCTCGTCATCGTCGA